ACTATGATATAACCTATCCACGGCAAAAAAATGTTCGGATCACGTGAAAATGTTCGAACCGGAATTATCCGAATAAAGATAAACATTTATTTATTATTATTTAAAGTAAACAATACAAAGTTACAAAATTAATGTAATCAAAATGCAAGTCTTTCACTTTTTAACTCCCAAGTATCCTGCTGGCTATGAACTTGCAGAGCTTCTTGATACTCATTCATCTATCCAGGAAATGTGGATCGTGGTCAGCCTTGGTTTCAACAAGATAATGCAAGACCGCACACCTCCAATATCGCTAACAATTTCCTCAAAAAAAAATAGTTCAAGTGTTGGATTGGCCCGCTCAAAGCCCAGACCTAAACCCAATCGAAAATCTCTGGCATGAGGTCAATAACGCTCTTCGACGCAAACCAAACCCAAGTAATCTCGTTGACCTTGAACGTCTTGTTCAAGAAGCCTGGCGTGACATGTCACCTGAGCTTTGTCGTCGATTGGTAGATAGTATGCTGAATCGCGTTAATGCTTGTATTAACGCTGGAGGAGGTCCGACAAAGTATTGATGTTAGCTTTGCAAGATTAATTTGGACTAAACGCGTCTCGAACCAGACAAAACGCGTCACAATTTGGGCGAGATGAGTTTCGGTTTAACAATAAATTTTAAATTTATATATTTTTTGAATCAGTGATTAAATTTTAAGATAATGTACATTATGATTTAGTAAATCTATTAGCTTATAATAATAATAAAGCATATTTTTTTATTGGTTTTTATGTTGTTATATATAATCTATCTACGAAAAGTACATGTATATTATAACAAAGTTCAAAAATTATTTACAAAAGTTTATGTATATTTACGAGCCCATTGTTAATCCCATTCCATAAGGATTGAATAAAATCATTTGACCAATGATTTTATATTCGTGATGTCATAATGTTAATGTCATGATGTCGATGTCTTAATGATGTTAATGCCGTAATGAGAAGTTAATGCCGTAATGATGTTAATGCCGTAATGATGCCGTAATGATGTTAATGCCGCAACAGGGGGAAGGTAACGATGTTAATGCCGTAATGATGTTGAGCGTTTTGGATAAACTTGCGTCTTTCAAATATTTTAAACTTTTGCAACAAAATTAGTGATTTAAGGGGAATACGATGTTTGCGACAAAATTAATGATATGATGATGCGAAGTTGGCGTGAGTTAAGGGGAAATACGATGTTAAAGGGAATTACCAAACTAAAGAACTTTAATAAATTACGATGCTTTTTATACTGCCACAACCATTGCAGCAAGCAGTCTCAATCAAACCATTGAAGCGTCGCGTCGAGTCCTTTATGTTGGTTCATATAAATGTATACGGCGAAGTCAATGAAAGGAATGGATTGTAAAAGGAATTTGTTTTGTATTTCTAATAAGTTAAGAGATAATTGAAAAGAAAAATCTATCTATGAAAAGTTCGTGTATATTACAATCTATCTACGAAAAGTCCATGTATATTTAAATGTTCAAAAACTATCGAATAAAATCATTTGACCCATGACATATTTCGCGAAGTCATAATGTTAACGTCGTGATGGTAATGCCATGATGTTAATGCCATGATGTTAATGTCATGATGTGAATGTTGTAATGATGTTATCGTTATGATGTCAATGTTGTAATGATGTTAATGCCGTAGTGATGTTAAGCGTTTTGGAAAAACTTTCAAATATTTTAAACTTTTGCAACGAAACTAAGATTTAAGATGTTTGCAGCGAAATTAATGATACAACGCGATATCATATTTGTGACGAAATTAGTGAGCTAAGTGGAAATACGATGTTAAAGGGAATTGTCAAACGAAAGAACTTTAATAAATTATGATGCTTTAATGCTATATACAAAATTTCAGCTATACTGCCCCAACCATCGCAGCAAGCAGTCTCAACCAAACCATTGAAGCGTCGAGTCCCTTATCTTGGTTCATATAAATGTATATGGCAATGTCAATGAAAGGAATGGATAAGATATAGAAATGAGAATTATTGCGTTTTGTAAAAGGAATGACTTATCCATTTTTGTATTTCTAACAAGTTAAGAGATAATTGAAAAGAAAAATCTATCTACGAAAAGTCCATGTATATTTAAAATCTATCTATGTATATTACAATCTATGTGTATATTTAAATGTTCAAAAATTATCGACTAAAATCATTTGACCAATGACGAATTTCGTAAAGTCATAATATCAATGTCGTGATGGTAATGTCATGATGTTAATGCCATGATGCTAATGTCATGATGCTAGTGTTGTAATTATGTTGTAAATGCTAGTGTTGTAGTTATGCTGTAAATGCTAGTGTTGTAATTATGTTGAAAATTTTATGATGTCAATGTCGTGATGTTAAGCGTTTTGAAAAA